TCGATTTCATTTCTTCGACGGTGATCGATAAAACGATGTGACACACGTAATCGTCGCATTGACTGTTGGTACCCAACCGATACTTGTCTCTTTCAACATTCATAGGTAGAGTATCCATCGGCCACTTGCACATGTCACTTTGCAGTCATCGATCCGCGATTATTTACGTGCTTCTCTAGACATCAGACACTGTCGATTATCCTCGACTCAGGTTGGCGGCCTAGGTGAATCGTATGCAGCACGCGGCCGCATTTTGTATGCGATGCATGCTCATCTGCATCTCGAAAGCAGAAAGTTACTAGTGCTTCTTTCGTGCTATAAACGTAGGATATACTTATACTTATAGTTATATATACAGTTTAAGATAACGAAACGTAGATGAATTTTAATCTGGATTTAGGATATTACTTTATTCTTCTTTGTTTTCCATTATCCTTTGGATTTCGATAGTGATTTTTTATTTTTCTTTTTATAGATCATATGTAAAATACAATTTACTTATAATGTAATTGAAAATAAATTTGAAAATGTGATTTAAAATATTTATGAAAAAGAATTTATTCAATAATACGCCTATAATTATTAACCATTGCAAATTATTACATATATAACTGATTATCTTCATTCTTCTTACTTCTATATTATGATATCCAAAGTTTTAATAAGGAAGATAATTAATTATGAAATTAATGGAAGAGATATTGAATACGAAATTCAATCAAGAATTAATAAATATCTAAAATGTGCATAAAATTAAGAAAATGAAGAAATTAAGAAGATGAAGGAAAATATTTTATAAAATCTTCAATAGAAAACATGTTTCTTTTTCTTTCAAGAATTGTACTTGTTATATATCATTGCACATTAATGTATATATCAACCTTTAAATCTAGATAATCTGATATGAATACATAATGAAGACAAGAACATAATGAAGAAATTCAAAGAATATTGCAGCAAACAAAGCTCAAACACTTTCTTCATAAATATTTAAGATACTTTTGATAATCGTAGAACTATAACTCTTGATTACTTATGATGATAATAGATCGTTTTAAGTAGCATGCAACGTTTAAAATTCCGTTTCATATCTCTTATTTCGTTGTTAATTTTTTATTCAAAATTACGCCCCTTGTTTTCTGAACATACCTAATTACAATTTTAACTGTCGATTCTTATCGACTCTTCTTGCCTTTTATCTGATGATAATATGATATATTGTATTATTCATGGATATCAACACTGTCTATCTTTACATCATTCGCTTTATAAAAGAATAAATGAGTTTTTTGTAATTATAATTTCTCAATTATATTTCATTAAAAAAAAACAGAAATAAATTACAAATAAATTACACTTGTAATTCGAATTCAGCAAAACACTTTAACTCGTAATCACATTTCATCCATCTCAATTTGTTCAAGAAATTAAGAAACAGTTAGTTGGAAAGTTCACTGAAGTTAATCGTTAATTGAATCAACTGTAGATCTTACTTCGATTCAATACTCGGAGGACATTTTGGTTAATTCTCCACGATAGTATTAAGTACCCTATTCCATTGGGTATATATGACCTTAGCTTACAAGACAAATATGAGACAATAGACGACATCAAAGCAAACCAGTTGGCACAAGCAATTCCAAGAGACGATTGAAAGTTTCAATTAGAATAATTGGCGAACTTGTGAAAAAGCTACCTCCTCACCGATTTCAATGATCTTCAAATATATCATTAAAGTTATTTAGAGCAATTCTTTTCTTATATATACTGTGAAAAATACTTTTGCTTATAACTCGAAAAGTCGTTATGAAAAAAAGTTGCAACAACATAATTCAAACTCGTTAAAATCATTGGAAAAGTATCTCTTCATCGAATTAATTTACTTAATTATATTTGCATAACGAGTATTGTAATAATTTGAAAGGAGAAATAATAAATTTACTTGCTTATTTGGAAAATTCGATTTCGAATACATGAATAATTTCAAAATCGTTGTTAATCATACCAGATAATAGAATAACTGATATTGCAACTATTTCATAATAAATTGGATAAAATGGATGTAATTCGGGATATCGAAATTATTAAATCATAAAACTAAAATATACTCGATTTAAATTGCTTGATTTAAAGATATTTAATTGTATTATAATTTTTTTCATGGCATTTACATCAAATGTAATATACGAAATGAAAGTGAATTAGTCTAAAATTATGGCGAATCTGATGATATCAATTAAAAATAATAAAATAGATTTTTGATAAAAATAAATTTAGAAAAAAGTATCTCAAAATATTAAATATTAATAGATTAAATATTAATCCAAACTCTTGTTTCTAATCTTAATTTTTAAATATTATTATTCTGTTTCAAATAATATAATAATCAAATATATCTGTCAAAAAATATTAACTGCAATTATCATTTTTAATCTCTGATAAAAAATTTACAATACTCGGGAAAGATGTCAAGGCGACAGTGATTACGAGAAAAGCTTGTGTAATTGGAAATGAGGGAAACGTTTAAACAAAACGTACAAATCAGGCTAAACCCGATACTTATGAACCAGGCATACGTTGTTCATATCGATCACAACAGGCTGTGCTTAAAATAATACATGTTTCTGTGTAGATTTAATGGGCGGTTTAGGTAGGTAAGTGCAGTAATTTAGACTACGATTCCATGACCATACCGCGAGCTCGTTAATTATTAGAGAACGATACCTATGGCCTATGGAACATATCGACACGTATTTTACATGTTGTGCATTTACATGCATCACATATTTTCCAGTTAAAATATATAATCAGATAAATAGGACATTCTCGAAGATACTTTTTCATTTAATATAATTAATATTGTCAAAAAATATGAAATGACTTTAAGTCATTTTTGACATTATTCATTGGTCCCAATGGAAATTTCTTAGAACAAAATGATTAACTAGGTTTTGAATAGTTTTGAGTACAGTTGTCTAGTCATCGGTTATGGTAAAAGTAGGTTAAGCAGATAGTGGAAGAATCGTGTTTCAACATTAATTCATAACCTGTGATTTGCATTTCATGGAAGTGTAATACCAATTCCAACGAGTCGTCGAGTAGAAAAACCTTGCTCTGAATGTAGTCTATGATTTGTTTCATTTATTCAACAACGAACATGGGCAAATTTTTGTTTAATCTACAATAAAATAGGTTTTCTTAATCTTTCGTGTCCATAATTCATTTACAATTAATTCCACTAATTTACATACTTTCATTTTAAACATAAACTAAACCGTAAACGCATCCATCCTCGAATCCATCCTCATCCCGATCCCCTTCGTAGCAGCAAATAAATCAAGTCCTCAAATTAACAACAATCGGTAAACAGGTTCCAAAGCGATCAACGTGAGACCAGAATCGGTACAACCGATTCAAGCCCTCGAAAATAGCAATTAGCACGGGCACAAAGATCCCTCCATCAAACAAGCCATCGAAGCAAAATCAACCGTCCTTCATGATCCGAGCAGGGAACACGGTCTATCGTCGCTCGATCCAAAATTCGAAGGACCAATTAGACGTGGGCACAGACGGTTTCGTTGATGGAGCAACGACGATCATGAGTGTACGCCACATCTGTATCCACTACAAAATCATCGGATTACAATGGTTGGATGCATCGTAATTACATAGTGTATTCACGGGTAGAATGGGGTGACAGTTTGAGGCGCAGGGAAGGCTGAGCGAAGCATACTCGGTGTAGAGATCGAGGTCGTCTTAACAGCCCCAGAGACAAGGTTGGCACATAGAATAATAGGGTTCGTCGGTGTGGCTGGGTTAGTCCCTGTTAGCAAGACCGAAGGTGCACAATGTATGCAAACACCGTCGCGCTACGGGATTCCCTGGAAATGCTCGAATTAATGCGCCTCCGTCCAATAGGGCGTGCTCTCCCACTCTTTGCAACCCCGTTTCGCGAATTGCCTTCAAAACTAACGATGACAAGACTATCAATTTTCCTTAACTAGCGTATTATGGATGGAAGTCTCTAAAGAAATATACTTTTTTGGAAATATTTTGCAAATATTCTCTATGATTTTTGAAATATTGCGAATCGATTAAAATACAACTTAACACTTAAGAATGAAAATAGGAATTTAGAATAAAGCTTCGTGAACTCGATAAGAAGATAGCTTTTGCAGCTTATTTACAGCTCAGACTTAGTACCATCAAATTGTATACTGTTCTACTTCTTGGAAGATCGATGGTGAAGTTGGATGAAGTAAAGATAGATTGTCATCAAGTCTTCAAACGCAAATGGATGGAACAAAGTCACTAAAATTGATAGAATTTATTTCGAAGAGAAAAAAAACTTTTTTCTTAATTTATGATACTTATTAAGATACTTATATATAATTAATAAATGTGAGATAATACTTACCTGACTTGATGTATGTAGGTTGAATTGAATAGACTTTAATGATTCGAATCCTTTCGTCGATATTGCAGTAAAATCAATAGATGTAAAATAAAATATATATCGTTAGAAAAATTGTAGAATTTTTTTGTATATTGCTAGTCGAATTATAAGATCTGTGTATGTAAAATTATGTCGTAAAAATTTAATCAAAGTAATCTTAAACACTCTGCAGTTATATATATAACTTTGAACAGTTATTTGGACTTAAATTTATAAATAATTAGACTAATATGAATTGAATATATTTATACGTGTATTTAATTATCACAGGGACGAGATTATCAGAAGTAAAAGAATATATTTATTTTTTATCCTTTGATTAATTATTTATTTAAAATATAATTAAGTATTTATTTAAAATATATTTATAGGTATTATACTTTCTTTTTTTTAAAAAAGTCATGCTTAAATAAAATATAAACTAAAAATATTTGTCAGCCAAAAATATCTTTTGACATTAAATAATCAATATGAATACTTACAAAGATTGATTGCCAATGTATTATTCAGATCTCGTATTTTCGCCTAACAATACGTGTTAAGAAAAACAGAATAGAAAAATGAAATAAATTGTTGAAACACAACAACACAAATGACAAATAAAATTTATATTGAAGCGCTATAATACATAAAAACATATCGATCGAATATCCAAATGACAATAATGCCAACAAAAAATGAATCGAAACGATACATCCAGCTTCGTTTAAGGCAAAAATTAGGCAAAATAATGTTTACACGATTCAATAAACAAAATATATCTCTATTAAGATTAAAATAATTCCAAACTAGAATATAAATTCGATTAAACATTAGATTATACTGAACAAAAAAAATTAATCATATTTTAATCATCGTTAAAATTGAGCCCGTTCTCGAACAGTACTATGGAATACTCAACTTAAAAAGCTGGCCAAAAAAAAATTTTCATATTAAGATTCTTATTTAAAGATCAAACACATACGTAAAAAAAAAAAAAAAAAAAAAAAAATAATAATAATAATAATAATAAAATTTTACCAGCAATTTTAAAATAATTTTAACACGATCAAATAGATTAAAACGCTGTTAACAAGTTATATAATAGTGTATCTTTGGATTATTTCCAAATGCATAATCGATTTCATCTTAAGCATACTTCCTACGTCCTTAAGAGTTTGAAAATTTGAATTTCGGCCAACTTCTTAAGCCAAACACTCCATCGTGTGATCCCACTTGGAGTAAAATTTTCATGGTACTTTCATCGTCGTGGATGCACCCCAAGATTTCCTTCACGTTCGGCATAGGGAACGTGATGGACACTGGACCGTGTAACGAGATTCGGCTCACGTGCGGCCGAAATTTCGGCTGTTCATTCCGTACGTTCTCTCCTCTCTTAAATAGAGAAGATCGGGAAAAGGTTCGGACAGGACGACAAGTGGGCGAGGCACTCGTTTCTGTAAAACAGATGAAACGTATTCTCTTTATTTCGTATGCCATCGAGTATTTATCTTACGTGACCGAACAATCCTCTCTCCCCTGACTTAACAACACGTGACTTTTTTAGCGAATGAAATTCGGACATCGGTTGTGACTATCCAACTAGGGCCAGGCTATCTCGCCTATTTACAATAGAATCTTTGTACAAAAACTAATCTCATATAAACAGTAAAATGTACGGATGATCCTGGGTTCTCGGTACATGAGCCGAGAACGAGGACGGGACATTCGATATCCCTCCACGTTACCACGTGTCGGGCGATTCGACGACGATCCACCGTCAAATTGGACCTCTCTCTTTATCGGGCACTCGGTTTCCATCCTCTTCGAAACCCGGTCTCTTCGTTTCATTCGCGAACGTGGCCGTACTCCGTTATAAAAATCTGCAGGTAGAAAAAGAACGGACAATCGAACGAGAACCCATCACGATCCGATACACTCCATCAAGCATCGAGTTCCTGTCTAATCATCGACGTTTCATTAACTCGTCGAGTATCCCGATATTCCACTTGTCCAATCTACACGACTAAAATCGCCTGTATGCTATTCCTCGTTCCCGTCACGACGACCCGGAAATTTCTCATCTCGCTTTCTCTTTTATTTCGTTACTTCTTCTTCTTCTTTTTCTTCTTCTTCTTTTCTTTCTTCTTATTTTTCCTTTCTTTGTACAACGTTTTTCGTAACGTAGAGTCGTCGACCTTAGGAAGACGCAACGCACGAGATTTCACGCGAGAATTCGAGAATTCCTCCCCTTTTGTGGGATTGGGGATTCCCGCGCAATTTGTAACTAGCTTCTCTTTGAGAGAACGCTCTCTGAGCCACTCGAGTCTCTCGACACGGCGAGACTTTGATCGCGAGATTTATATACAACTTTCTTGTATCCGATTCGAGCGCGTCACCACTTCCGGCTGATGGAACTTCCCCTGCGCGGAGACCGAGGAGGAGACCGGCCTCTGCGGCATCGATGACAAACCTTTGCCTGACCTCTGGAGGCTGTAGTACATCTGCAATCAATCGAACGTGTTCTTTGTTTTCAGCCAAATACTTCGCTTGTTCGTTAATAGCTTTGTATTTTCTCTTTTCTCTATTGATATGAGGATGATGTACTAAAAAATGATGATTTTAATATTGGAGAGAAGAGAAATTTTGACGAGTTAAGTTTTCTCAATTGTTAGAAGAGAACGACTTTAAAGTTGGAGGATGAATATGTATCGAGCTTTTCATCTTTTTATCTTTGATATATCTTGATATTGGATCAATATCAAAGTATTAAAATAAATATTATGTACATAAATTTATTAACAGTAAATATTTCCAATTTTTCACGCTTTATTTAATGATCCAAGAAAAAATGTTCAATGAAATGGGGCACATATAAAACATTATAAAACGATAAAATGGCACGTTTATCTTAGCAATAATAATAATGTAATTACGTGTTTGAATAGTTGTTCAGTTTGATATAGAAATTAGCGCTCAACCAGTTTACGATCCTGAGGAGACAGATTAATTATCCTCTCTTTAACGCTTTTCGAAGGATGTAAACATTTGCTAAAATTGAGTTTCAGTTAATTGCGTCGAGAACGTTAAACGCTTTACGAAAGGTTACCTCAAGTCCTTAGAGACTTTTCTGAAAGGTAAATGTGCTTTTTCCAACTTGTTTTTTCAATGTTAATTGAGTTTGCACATTTCCATATTGCGACAACGCCCTATATTTTCCTTTAATATATCAAAGATATTTCAAAACAGGTTTTAAATTGAAAATAAATAGATTCCATCTTGAATCATTATACGATTGAATCATTATTTATGAACTCATAGCAAGAAAATATACTTTTCTTTAAAATCGTATACTTTAAACTTATTAAATTATGATGAGATAAATTTTTTTACAAATTGCTTTAAAATCATGGCATATATTGTGTTAATTTTTTTTTTATTTCTTCTATATTTATATTTAAATTCATTAAAGTATTATAGACCAATACTTATGATTTTTCATTTTTTCAAACAGGCAAGACTTTATTGACTATCATTTAATTAGAAGTTAATAATTTCTATTAACTTCTATTAATAATAGAAATATTAAAATTCAAAACATTTACCATTTTCATTCCATCTTTCATTTTTGCACAAATATCTTTATTTTCTTCTATTTTATCTTACCTTTTATCCTATTCTTTTACATTTATCTTAATTTTTATTTATTCTCCTCCAAAATAAAATTCCTTTCTATTTCTCTATTTATTTTATTCTTTATTTTTTCCCTCTCTTCTCTATTTTAAATTGGGTAGCAATCAATCTCTCAATTTAGATTCCTCGAAGAGCAAATAAGAATTTTAAACCATTCATCGATAGAATTTTACATTAGACGAATTCGGAACAATTCTTAAAAATCACACAAAATTCTTCACGTCTAAATTCCATTATTCATCCATCATTAATCGTTAACGTAATCAATTTTGTAAATGCCCGTATTTTCATGATCAATAATCATATCTGTCCGCACATGTTGATAAACCCTGCGTCTAAACGCAAAATTACTTACACTCTATTAATTCAACGGTATAGCGTACCATCAACATTGTTCTCTCGCTTAATTGGACATACAGCCCGATAGATTCCCATCAGAATTACACTGACCACCGTTACAAACCGCATTAACGATACAAATTACACCTTCCACCGCTCGCGTATATAATTTTCACACTGAAAAAAATATCAGCTTATCTTAAAACAACCATAATCTACATAATCTATATATCGCGGGATCGAAAACTGCATAAACTGTTCGCACGGAAAATAACCAAAACTTTCGATTTACGATACCAGCCAGCGCGAAATGTTCAACGAATGAGAGAGAAAGAGAGACAATGAGCGAGCTCGAGAACGAGAGACAGACAGATAAATAGAAAGAGAGAGAGAGAAAATGGAAAAAAGGAGGACAGTAAATGCAAATGCATCGATACTTGTGAAAATTGCAAATTCGGAATTAATAATGGAACAGCCAATGGGGTTGGAACGCGAGCTACACCCGAAAATAATCGAGAACCGCGGCTGGGTTATGTGATTCCGTGAAAAACAAAAAAAAAAAAAGGAAAAAACACCACTCGTGGAAAACGAAAACATCCAGGGGGAGGGAATACCAGGGGCTGTTTAATGAACAAAGGCTGCGGCGGTCTCGGTTTTCGAAATCGGTATTAAAATTATTCAGACGTTTAATGGAACGCGACCAGTTGTCGTTGGGAAAGGAAAGGAAGTCGAGTTACGCGCGCATCGGGACTGGCCCTCTCGAATTATCGAGGAAACTTCGACGTAATTAAACTCGCAGATAACCCAAGGCTTCGCTAAACCGGAAAAGTTAAAGTGGAAGACTGGCGTATATTAAAGCGAGCCGATCCCTCCACTTCTTGGCTCGTGTCCCGGGATCCCCTCTCTCCCCTCCTCCTCCTCTTCTTCGAAACTTCGAATATTTTAAAACAACCTTGTCGGTTTGGTTACGCGGGGCGGAGGGGGGAGGAATAGGGAGAGGGACAGAGATTGGCCACGATAAAGAAGAGGAATCGCGTCGACGAGGGGAGGATCGATTGTATTGCTTCCTCGGGTAAAAAAAAAAAAGAGAGGGAGGAGGGAGGGGGAGGGAAGAGAGAATCTCCCTGTTGAATATTGTATCACGTTTCATCGATCGGCCGGTTCGGTAATTCGCTCGTTTCTCCTACAAACTTTCACCCCCTACCCCCCTTCTTCCGTGGCCAGGGAAAGCGTTAATTGCTTCTCATTAATCAAACGGCTTCGACTAAATACACTCTATTAGATATCGGCGAAAGAAAAAAAAGAGGGGATCCCCGATTAAATTTACAGACCTTAATGAGTTTATGGGACTAATTGTCCTATCCCGCTTGAGGATGATTTATGTGGCCGCGGTGTCGATCGATTAGTTCCGGTTCCGGGATATCCTGATCTCGTTTTTTTCCTTTTCCCGAGAGAATGCGAAATCGTGGAAAGTTTCGTGGTTGAAAGGAAGCGGAGAAAAGAGCGATAAATCCGGATGATCTAGTGGATTCTTCTACTTTTGTTTCTGTTTGCTTACCTTCGAATTCCTTTTGGAACGTCAATCATGGTGACTCGTGAATTTGTTGATTCTGGGGAGGGAAGGTAATTCTCTCTATCTGATAGTATTTTTCTTTCTCTCTCTCTTTCTCTCTCTCTCTCTCTTTTCGAAGAATTCGATGGAATTTCATTAATATCTGAATTTTCAATGAAATTCGATACGTCACGATTGTAAAGTTAATATTTGGAATTCGGGGAAAGCTTTGAAATATGTCCATTTCCATTTCTATGAAATATTTAACTTCTCTTTCGGATTGATGATGTAAATATGAGCCATCGAGAGTCAAATTAATTTTATACGGAATTATTTCGATTCTTGATGAAACGAAATATTATTATTCTTTTCTGAAAATTTAAAAAAATTCAAGGAAAAACTTTCGTTTATTTTATCAAACACGTTGCATAATTATATAAATGGCCTTATTTTGTCATGCTTTTCGTATATGTGTAATTTCAAATTTTCCCACCCACGTAATATATTATACCGGTGATAAATTGCCTCGCTTTAACTGAACAAAGCTGTATCTGTAAAAAAGTTGGAGCAGAATTTCACGCGACAAAAATAAATGGGTTTGAATTGCGCGTGACTTGGTGCGTTTAAAAATTTCATGGTCGCTTCTATTTTTCTTTTTTATACGGAGCCGTCTACTTTTTTGTATTCTCACCAATTTATATCTGGCTCGTGTATAATATATTTGCAGTTACGCCCCCAATTATACGAAAAATGCATACAAATTTTTACTTTCAGAGAAAAGAATGATTGGAAGAACTCACGTTTTGCTTGTTTCGTTGATTGTAATCGTCCATTGCCATCTGCTTGAAGTCAGCCATGGTGGGTGGATTGCTGTACGTATTCGATTGGGATATGTGATTTTGGGGATAATTTATGGTCGGCGTTGGCAGACAGTCGCTCAACAACGAGTCAGGTGGTAGATCCAGACCGTGTTGCACGATCGGCCTTTTCTCTGGCGAGATCGCCTCGTCCATGACACGATCCTTCTTTCTCCGTTGCGGAGGCGTCTTATATATCGGAGTGTACGTTAGAGGTCTTCTCTCTGCGAACAGATTCGAACGAAACCGTATAAAGTTGCGTGTACGTTAAGCAGATTAGTCGATTAAATCTAGACAAGAGTTTAGTCCCCGTGCACGGTACAATACGTACAACAAGAGAGAAGAGCTCCAGGAAAAATTGTGCTTCCACGATGGAAGCATTTTTCTTATTTTTAATAGGGACGAATGGATAATTTGAATATTCATTTGTGAATTTATATGAATTTTAATATGAAAATTTCACTTCCTGTAATATAATATATTTGATTATAACGGAGTTGATTATCCAAACATAGATTAAAATTTAAAGTTTGGTTAGTCGAATAATCGATTATATATAGAATATAGAATATGAATGCCAGAATGAATATGCCTTAATTATTAGTTCAAATAATCGATATTTTATTGTATATCTATAAAGTGTAGAACATCTTTTATTTATCGAAATGAAATTTTATTATTATCCGAACTAGCGTCGATGATTCTAATTATACGAATGTTTACTGTGAATGAAAACAAAAGACGTAATAGTCATAACATATTGCGTGATTTCAAAAATAAGCTAAATGTATTTGATTGAATCCATTTTGTATGTAAACATAAAGTTGGATTATTTGAACGAAAAGTCGCAAGTAGCAAGAAAAATATTTGGCAGATTTATATAAATGGAATTCTGTTATATTTATATTTTGAAAGAATCGAAGAGTAAAATTTGATTCAATTTATCATTTACAAATTATATAGTCAAATCATATAAAATGATTTTAATTTCTAAAAAATCTTATCGAAAATATATATAGTACTTTTAAATTTGCAAAAATATTACATACGTTTTTTATAAATAAAATCTAAATGATTTATTTATTTTCTCAAAGTAAGTACATATTACTTACAATAAATTAATATTCATCCTATTGCTTATTCCGATCATATCAAAGTCTTTCTTAAAAATTACGAAAGAAACAAATTACACTAAAAGTTATGCTATGCGATTCAGCTTCGAATTCAATCTGAAATAATGGACGTTCATTGAACCAAAGAAATTCAAACAATTCGAATGGATCAAAGAATTATTATTACAAGGGATCGAAGAATTAATCTGTAATTTGAAGTGAAATGATATTTTCAGAAATAACTCGTAGTCGACAAAGAAACGAATCTCGTTCATTTTTCTTTCGAAAGCATCAAAGCTTCCGATGAAACGTAATGCGTTTGCGTTCGTCCGCTTTAATGCTGAGATAATAATGTAGAAGTTTGATGAGCACACATTGATCACTATTCATTGTGGATAAAGGCATCGCGTTTCCGACCTATTAATGTGTATTGAAGCGTATCAATTTAACCTGACAATGCATTTCGAAATTCATTGGTACGCGGAAATATCTTTGATGGAAAAAAAGAACCCTTCGCAAAACCATTCGCCATTAACATTCTGGGAATTTGAACGGAATGAGATGATGATACGCCATCGTATCTCTATCGATTTTTCCCCCTACTGTTCATTGAACGCATTTTCGAAAATTAATTCGTTGATTGGAATCCAAATGCAAAACAATTGCCTTTCTGAGATTAAAATTAAAGAAAACAATCTTCCATTTAAATGAGATTATAGATATCCATGATGCTTGAACAATTTGATCTTTAAATATTTGAATTCAAATAACTTCAAGGATTCAACATTTTATTTTATTTATCCTAAATCTTTTTCGTATAGAGTATACATACAAAGTATATATTCGTGAGATATTTTTATAAGATCGATTCTGGAGCTGAAACAAGGACTAAAATTGATGTGTAAAATTACTTGAATCTCATTTGTTAATTAATAATTTAGTTGGAGTTTAAATTGGGATTCCTTTCTGTCTCACTCTATCACCATTTTGCATCATCTAAAACTTAAACTCTGCTTATAATTTGATAAACAAACAGCACTAACTCTCTTATTTATTTTACCTTCCAAAATCCACCCATCAAAAATCTACCAACACTTCACCTCATTTCAGATTATTTGCAATTCACTTAATTTCCATACTTAATTTCCGAAAATTGGAAAAATAAATACCAAGTGTATACCAAGTCTTTACAGGTTCGCGTGCACGTAGACCATGACTCGGAGCCACAGTTTCGAACAATCGGAAAGTCGTATACTCACCATACTCGTTGGGTATGATGTCTGGATCGATGTCATCGACCGCCTGCTTGGTCTGGGGGTGTACCGGAGTTGTTGCACCCGTATTAGGAGGGTCGCACACGATGGGAGCGTGCTTTGGACTTCCGGGGCGGCCGTTCGAGTGCTTCCGGTAGAGAGCCGCCAGGATCCCAGCTACGGCCAGGGCCAAAAAAGTCGCTGTTGCCGCGAGGCCCAGCAGCAACGGGCTCAGCATTGACGCGTCCGTGTTCCCTGTCATGGAACCAATGGAAAACGCTCGATCAACCGGAACTTCCATCGTGCTACCTATCTGCTGTGTCTTCCTCTGTTTTCTCCCTGTACCCCCGATTATTGCCGCAAGTATGTGTATTTTTACGCCACCTATACAACTATACCATCCTCTGTACACATTGCTGAGCATTGTGAGCTATTTGATCACCGATTTTCGTTCGCCGACATTCGTTTAAATTTATAGTTCCGCAGGTATTGTTACTCTCTTTCGCGATGAACACGGATTGAATGATCGCGGTTTGTTTCGCAATTCAATATTCTTTTTTGTGTTTAAAATATTCGAGACGTGTGAAAGCTAATAACTTGATTTGTGAAAAATTGAATAGAATAGTTAGAATAGGAGAATGGTAATTTTAAAATAAGGGTAATATTTTTTGATATTCGCGAATTTTATATTGACTCAGTTAGTTGGACAATATGGAAAATTATTTATATTATCTTCTTTTATTAATTTTCTTTGAGAAATTGTGTTTATTATTTAAGGTAAAATGCAAAGGCTTCTAGACACTTATATTTTGATACTTCTCCAAAGAAAAGAAAAGAATAATAAAGTATTGTTTATATTTATTCCAATTAAAGAGAAAAATAAATTAATTTCGTAACTAAAACATAATTGCAACATAATTTATTGTTCAATTTTTATTCTTTTCTTCTTTAAAAATAGATAATACCTATTTATAATAATATATAATAACACTATTTTTATAATGTATTTTCAGAAATGATGCATCAATATTGTATAAGATATACTACAGAGAATCAGAAATACTTCCTCAAATGTTGAAAAACAATATAGTATTAATATTAAAAAATAATCCAAAAACGATTTCATTTGTCCAAATCAAAATATAAACTGTCTCTCCAATTCTGTCTTCAATTTCCTTTCTATAATCGCACAAAAAAAAGAAAAGAAAATTTACAAATCCCAAGAAATATCGAAAAAATTAAAAGAAATCGCACGACAACGAGAAAAATCCTCAGCCATTTTCATTTCGAGCACGGATCATCCTCAGCATCCGGATTTCGCCGGTCAAACGCGTGCACGCACCCCTGCCAGGGGGTGAATCGTAAATCAGCCGTTAGGAGGCCGCAGTCGCTTCAGGCTTTAATCGGGCTAAAGCTAGTCGCGGCGATGTCGCGCGTTGTAAATTTTACCCCTTCCCTCCCCCGCGCGTAATCGTCGTGAATTATTAAGCCGGACGGTGCTTCCGTTTCGCGCCAAAAGGTACGCGGACCAGCGTCGATTTTTCCACGCTGATTTTTCCACGCGCCTTATCCCGGTTATCGTGCCTGCTAATTGGTGTTTGCGCGAAAATGTTTGCTCGACGAGTATTAATAAGGCTGTTTGGTTTCGTTGCGCGGCGTGTTTGCTCGTTGTCAAGCGAACGGATTATTCGTTAGCTATTAATTGGGATGCATTCGTGGTAATGCAGCGATGGTTGAAAAGAGCATGGTTGCTTTGATTCTACCGGGAGACAAATTTGCGTTATTCTTTTTTTTTTTTTTTTGTTCTGAAAATATGTATAAATCAAATTTTTAAATCGTACGAGCTTCGATTCCATAGAGGAAACGAATTCCATGAATTATTCTCGTCTTTAAAACGTATAAGTTGAATGTTTAAATGTGCACGATTTTCGTGCGTAGTTTTCTTTCAGTTTCGATATGAATTGTAGATATGAATTGATTGATTGTTTGAAATGCAAATAGTTTAATATCTAGAGTTTCTCGTAGGTGTTGAGAACGTTGAATTCATGTTTATTAATGTTTAATATTTATAATTTATACATGTCGAGATTTTATTCAAAGCAATTCATGCGTTTCGTAAGATTTTTTTTTTCTTTGAATAGGAATTTTGTACTCGAAACTTAATAAATATTGTTGAAGAACAATTTAACGAAAAATTTTTATAATTGGCAGCCAATGATTACAATATAATAATGTATCTGATTCGGAGATATCGAATGTTTGAACAAATTTTTTGGTTTTATTGCATGCTTTATTGGCCAAGTAGATTTAGAATCGCGTTCTTTCGTATTTCCATGGAAATTTCGCATCTATTGCGCTTTTTTTGTTTTTAGTGAGAATACGTTTAAAAACTTCATAAAACAAAATCGATGGATTCGGTTCAAAATAAACATTGAACCAAAAACTGCAGTAAATAAAGAGTCGCGATATAAGCGATGAAAAAAATTGGTCGAAAAAATCAAAGTAAAAAGTTGAAATGATAAATTTTAATTTATCCTATTTGACATAAATGACATGGAATGAAATGTTTCGGACGTAAATGTACGTTTTTTTTTTTTTTTTTTTTTTTGATAAAAATCGTTTGTGAAAAATTATTTGATACGACATATAACAAACAAAAGTCTGAATCAAAGCAAATATTATGATATAACAACAAATCCATGAATTTTATACAATAGTGAATTTTAATTTCAAAGAGAATTTGTAATTTATTATTGTAATTTTTAATTAATTATAAATTAATGGAACAATAATTACTCGTGCTTTACTTTCGTTTAAAAACTTTATGCAGAAAATTCTTTGTAAATAATTTCACATGTATGTATGTAACGTCAAAAGGTATTCAAAAAATTTATTATCCAATAAGAACGAGAATTTATATGAAATTTACGCAATTGAATAATTAAAAATTATTTGCTTAAAATTAAAGATAAATAAATTATTAAATTTCTTTTATATCTAATTTCATAATTAAATTGCAAGCTGTAAAAAATAAATAAATACCCGCTCCCTCTTTAATGACACTCTATAAAATATAAATTCGAAATTATTATTTCAACATTGAACAATTTCTACTCAGACAAATCTAAATATACAAAAACTAATAATAAAACACAAGAAGCGCGTCGATAAAAAGATAAAATCCAGATATCCTTTTAATAGCGAAAAATTTCATATTTCAAATTTTAATCGTGATCTTGGTGATCGGTCCATTGATCACAGGAAGTAATCAAAGCGATCGGTAAAATTTAATTCAGTCGTTGGGATTCGTGAGGGTTGTCCATATTCAACGGTGTCGACCGGTCCCTGAAATTTTTAAAAGAGCCGTAAATCCGGCGTAACTCTTACCAATCGTTCTGCCGTGAACCCCGTTGAATCCCCGCGCTGGACGAACGAGCAGGGAACATTCGTGATACTCGTTAAACTTTGATTAGACTTTGATTGCCGGCAGAAAGCGGACCGATTTAAACTAGCGAGCAGAAGTCGGTGTGTACAAAATAAAAAGAGACATCATGCCAGGAAAGGGGAGGAACGATAACGAAACGACATCCGGTGATCAAGCCACGTCTCGATGGAAAAAGAATTGTGGACCTTAAAGCAAAAAGAAGTCATTCATTTTTTGATCGTTTTTTTTTTTTTTGAGATATTATGTGTAATTTTCAGCGATTGCAAGGTAATTTTATTTTTCTTTTCTCGAATTTTAATTTTAAATACAATGTGCAAATATTTTTTATAATCATTTTGCATAGAATATTCTGATATTCTGCATTATTTGGTGTAAGTTTTATAGATGAAAAACGTACCTATCCTTTTTGGATCTTATTATTGCTTTGCAATACGAATACAGAATAATGTTATTTTTTGATATCCATAGAAAATTTCGATATATCTTCTCCATTTTTGATTAATACAAACTGCAGCGAGTCGAATAAATCGAATATTTTATTGTCGATATAAAGTAATTGAAATTTGCTGCAAATCTAAATTTAAAATAATATTCCAAATTGAAAACAGATAGATATATTTTTAATTATAGTTTTTCTTTCTAAAGTTAAGTAATTTCGTAATTTTTTCTCTTTTTTTTTAAATTTTCATATTAATTGGTAAAAATGGAACTACATCCTTTCGTTGCTTCGAGGTCCTCGATTCAGTTTGAAAAAAAACTGCGGCTGTCTTTCCACGGTTACATGATATACAGACATGTTTACACCAGAATATGTCGTCGGGTGTAATTAAACTTTTTCCGTCGCGAAATTGGTTGCTCGCCACTCCCATCCCGCTGTCTCTTCAACTCGACGGCAGATTAATCGATTGCCGTGGAAAATGGCAACGGTGAAATTGCTCAGACGTAGATACGCGAAGAAGAATATGTCGTAATACGTCGATTCCAAATGGATCTTGAGTAAACGAACCGTAAATCCATCTGGCTTCCGTGATTGGAAGCTGGATACACTGTGATTTGTATTGATGAATCAGAGATGTAATTAGAGAGATGGTTGTCACGTGATGTAAATTGTGAAAATTGTTTAAATATAGGAAGATGGTAATAATACAGAGGGCAATTTTTAAAAAATTCACGTGAAACGTTGAAAAATTATGAATCATAAAAGATTTTATAATCTGCTTCTTATATATATTGCTTTTAATAATTGAAGATAAGAAAAAGATGATCATAAGCGATAAAATTAAATTAAAAAATTGTATAATTAAAAATCCATCTAAAAAGATACATTTTTACACATTTTTCCTTATTTTATACTTAATGAATTTATTTTATTCATCGATAATTATGATGAAATCGCAAGAAGAAAAATGCAGGAAATTATAATGAAATACAAGATTGAAATAGTATACGTACAGGAATTGGAGAACATTTTATGTTGTAACACTTCAGGGGGATGAAACGAATTTTTAATCGCATCACTTTCAACAATCCTCTCTCTGTACAATTCTTTTTTATTGTCGGTTTCCCACAACTACTCATGATTCGTTTGGTCCATCGTAATTCATCATTCGTTTGATCCTGACTTTTAATACGCGTTGAACGATTTTCACAAAGCGAATGTGTTTCTTTAATTCCGAATTTACTGAAAAATATACGCGTATCGTCTACTGTTTGTACGCAAAATTTATTTGCGTAGTTTATGCAAAGATATTTGCAACGGAAAGTTGCAATGTAAATTATTACAACGCGAGTCACGTAGTTTTATTCACTA